GCTTTTTAACATAGTTTTGTTCTCTATTGGAAATGGATGACATAGCAATGTTTAGGAATAGGGTAGGACTAAGTAACTTTCTTGTATAAAGGCTGTACAGAGAATGCCAATTTCCAAGTAATGGTGCTTAAAGTGAAACGATCTAAGAGCACAGTGACTTATAATATTGGTAGAATTTAAGAGCTTTATGAATTATTTTAGACTGTATTTATAAGACTGTTAAAGACCCAAAGGGTTCCCTTAAAATTTTCAGTCATACTTCACTACATTTTATGGGGACATTATATGCTAGAGTGGTATTCATGGACTTGAAAATCTGCAAAGATCTTAAGAAATAACTCTCAAGAATTCCAAGGAGCTCCTAAAATTTAGAGGTCTTGGATGTGTCTCTTCCTCTCTGGACCCCAAATCAAATCACAATCAGCTGAATGAATGCTTGTCTCCTTAACGCCATTGTTGGGGGAGGAGAAATTTCCCTTCTTTCTCCTCTTAGATGTTTTGGCTGGCAATTAAAATGACATGAGGCAGACTAATAGGAGAAAATCTAATTTATTACATGTGCACAGGGAATTCACATAAGTATGAAGAATTTCAAAGACATCAAGACAAGGTGAGATATACTTATTCTGGATTAAGGAGGAGGAGGTAGGGGTCTGATGCATCAAGGGGAAGTAAGGTGATTCACAAGAAAATAAAGAGTTAACATTTGGGAAACAAATACTTTTTTGGCCCTCCAAATGCAATGGCACACAGAGACAACTGATCAAATGGACTTTGCCAAGTTCCTCTCTTTCTACCATACTTAATACTTCACTATAGTTATCTACGGTCATACACTATAGTTATCTACGGTCATAACTTCTTCCTGGAACAGACCTTCTAAAATTCTTTTAGGCAGTTGGGGGAAGCTCCAAGGTTTTTCCTTAGTCTTTTGGGGCTTGGTTGGTTGTTTTCAGCTCAAAATAATCTTCATGCCAGAGTGGCACATCTTGGGGCAAGTCTGCCCTTGGCCCTAACACCACCACAAAAACAAGTCTATTCCCTATTTGATATTCAGATTATGTGACTCCCCTATTCTCAAGCCTGTAGTGTAATCACCTCTATAGCATGTCAAATCCAAACAATAATTATGCTTGTAAGTCAACTTTGAGGCTCTGCACTCAAAGTCTCCGCTCCATGATTTCCTATGCCTTATTTTCTGCACATTCTCATTCAGTTCTTCACTGTGATTTCCTTTTCCTAAACTGCGGTTCTTTTCCACTACTTCCACATGGTTCATCGGACCAGGAGAGGCCCAAAGAGCCCTCTTTAATTCCTTTCTGCCATACCATATTGCCTTACACAATACTAAAGACTCACTACCATGAAAATGCCATCTAGTATAAACAAAAAGAGCATAGCTTGTAGAGTCAGACAGACCTAGGTTTCAATCCATTTCTGCTATTTAGCATGTGTGTGAGACTGAGCAATTACTTCATTCACTTCCACAATCCTCACAACATTGTAAGAATTATGAGGATTATCTGATCCATGCCCCGCAACATACACTTTTGTCACCTCAAACTGGCTTAGCTTTTCAATTTCCCCACTATTCTTATTTCAGTCAATGGCATCCAGTATCTCATTTCAGTATCCTATCACAAAGTCTGATCAAGTCTACCACCTATTATTTCTTATATATACTTCCATCTCTCCATCCACACTATCACTATTTTTCCTTCATATTTTGCCTAGACCACTACATGTGTCTCACAAGTGTTCTTGTTTCTTTTACCCTCCATATCCCCCTCCTCACAGCTTCCAAGGTGACCTTTTTTTTTTTTTTGGCTGCACCATGCAGCTTGTGGGACCTTAGTTCCCCAACCAGGGATCAAACCCACATCCCCTGCAGTGGAAGCGTGGAGTCCTAACCACTGGACTGCCAGGGAAGTCCCATACAATTAACCATTTTCTTTTTATTTATTAAATATTTAATTTGGTTGTGCTGGTCTTAGTTGTGGCACATGGGCAGGATCTTACATCTTTCTTCCCACATGTGGGATCTTAGAGCTTCCCAGATGGCAGAGTGGTAAAGAATCTGCCTGCCAATGCAGGAGAGGCAAGAGACATGGATTCGATCACTAAGTTGGGAAGATCCTGGGGACGGGGCGGGGGAGGGTGGGCAGGAGGAAATGGCCACCTGTGGTATGTGGGATCAGGGACTGAACCCAGGTCCCTGCATTGCAAATTCAGAGTCTTGACCACTGGGCTACCAGGGAAGTTACACACTTTATTTAGGCCACAATCCTCTGAAGGGCTTGTTAAGATACAGATACCTGGACTCAACTCCCAAAATTTCTCATTAGGTAGGTCTAAGGTGGGACTTGATTATTTGCATCTCTATAAGTTCTCAGATGATGCTGCTGGTTTAGGGACCATTACAATAGCATTATTTCTTGTTTCAGAGCCCCTAGACACATAGAAACATTTACTCAGGTCATACATCAAGTGCACACTTTAAACAACACTTATGAAAGGCTTCCCTTGAGCTTCCAGACTAGACTAAACACTCTTGAGATATTTTTCATAGCATGCACAATATTTGTGATTAGTTATTTGTGTAATTATTTTTTGAGTTAAAGAAACATAAGTCAAACTGTCTCACAAAGGCAAGGACCCTGTCTTCAAGTCTTTAGAGCTTGGCACACTGATTGGCTCATAACAGGTACTCAACAAATTTTTGTTGAATAAGATTTTAATAAACAATTGCATTCTATTTTTAAAATGGTTAAAGTTCATTCACTGACACTGTTTCCCATCACAAATATTCAACATTCTTTTCTTCTGAGACTAACACAATTTGCTCGTAGTTTCTCCAGTCACTAACTTTTGGCCCCTACCTGTACTCTAAACAAATACAGGGGTTTCAATTCAAATTATACATTAAATTTACCTGAAGAGCTTTCCAAGTTACAAGGTCCAACCTCTGGCCAACTGAACCTGAATTTCTACACTTAAAAGATAGAATTTCCAAATATTTAAAAAAAATTTTCCACAGAAGATTTGATGCACAGTAACAGTTGAAGAGCACTTCATGACTGGGTCTATCACTCGAGGTAAAACTACTTGTGTATACGTTGATGGTTATGATACAACATAAGACACGGGGTTGGCAATCATCTGATACACTGTGAAAAAGACATTTCTTTAGCTGCCTTCATTATATTTTAAGTTCCTAGATCACTAGAGTTAAGTTGCTCAGTTGGGTCAACACTGCGACCCCTAGGACTACAGATTGTCAGACCTCCTTGTCCATCACCAACTCCCGGAGTTTAGTCAAACCCATGTCCATTGAGCCAGCGATGCGATCCAACCATCTCATCCTCTGTCATTCCCGTCTCCTCCTGCCTTCAACCCTTCCCAGCATCAGGATATTTTAAGATCAGGCAGCTCTTCCTATCAGGTGACAAAAGTACTGGACTTTTAGCTTAAGCATCAGTGCTTCCATTGAGTATTCAGAACTGATTTCCTTTAGAATGCACTGGTGGAAATTCCTTGAAGTACAAGGAACTCTCAAGAGTTTTCTCCAACACCGCAGTTCAAAAGCGTCAGTTCTTCGGCGCTCACCTTTCTTTATAGTCCAACTCTCACATCCATATGTGACTACTGGAAACACCAAAGCCTTGACCAGATGGACCTTTGTTGGCAAAGTGATGTCTCTGCATTTTAATATGCTGTCCAGGTTGGGCATAACTTTTCTTCCAAGGAGCAACGGTCTTTTACCTTCCTGGCTGCAGTCAACATCTGCAGTGATTTTGGAGCCCCCCAAAGTAAAGTCTGTCACTGTTCCCCCATCTATTTGCCATGAAGTGATGGGACCAGATGCCATGACCTGAGTTTTCTGAATGTTGAGTTTGAAGCCATCTTTTTCACTCTCCTCTTTCACATTCATCAAGAGGCTCTTTAGGTCGTCTTCGCTTTCTGCCATAAGGGTGGTGCCATCTGCATATCTGAGCTTATTGATATTTCTCCCAGCAATCTTGATTCCAGCTTTGGTCTCATCCAGCCCAGGGTTTCTCATGATGTACTCTGCATATAAGTTAAATAAGCAGGGTGACAATACATAGCCTTCATGTACTCCTTTCCCTATTTGGAACTGGTCTGCTGTTCCATGTCCAGTTCTCACTGTTGCTTCCTGACCTGCATACAGATTTATCAAGAAGCTGGTCAGGTGTCCGGTATTCCCATCTCTAAGGATTTTCCACAGTTTGCTGTGGTCCACACAGTCAAAGGCTATGGCATAGTCAATAAAGCAGAAGTAGATGTTTTCCTGGAACTCTCTTGCTTTATCGATGATCCAAGACATGTTGGCAATTTGATCTCAGGTTCCTCTGCCTTTTCTAAATCCAGCTTGAACATCTGCAAGTTCACGGTTCATGTAGTGTTGAAGTCTGGCTTGGAGAATTTTGAGCATTATTTTACTAGTGTGTGTAAGTAAGTGTTAGTCGCTTGGTGGAGCCCGATTCTTTGCAACCCGATGGACTGCAGCTCACCAGGCTCCTCAGTCCACGAGATTTTCCAGGCAATGATACTGGAGTGGGTTGCCATTTCCCTCTCCAGGGGATCTTCCCAAGCCAGAGATCGAACCCGGGTCTCCTGCACTGCAGGAGACTGACTGTGCTACAAGGGAAGCCCGCTAGCGTGTGAGATGAGTGCAATTGTGCGGGACTTTGCGCATTCTTTGGCATTGCCTTTCTTTGGGACTGGAATAAAAACTGACCTAATCCACTCCCTGTGCGCCACTCCAAGACGGGTATACCTGGCACCGGAACCTGGATGCCAACCTGCAGGTGCAGGACAGGACCCACCGCCCCCACCCACAAACACACACCTTCTGTACTCAGACCGAGAGGACCTTTTTGGAAGGGGACTGGACCAGCCCCTGTAAACGCTCTGACTGCCCAGCCTCGAGGGCTATAGCTGCTCAGTGCACAGCCAGAGGGGTGAGCGCTGGGGAGGAGATGGGGCCCAAGAGGTCTGTCCTGCCCAAGGCCTCGGAGGACAGGTAGAAGCGTCGGAGCCTCTCCGCTGATCACAGAAGGACAACCCACTCCCTTACGAGGAACAGAGCAGGACCAAGGGTGGCAGGCAGCCTGCGGACAGAGGCTCCGACTGCAATCCCCAAGCACAGCCACAGGGAATATCAGTCCAGTGAAGGGGCCAAGGAGCCCAGCAGCAAATCCCTCTGCTACAGCAGACATGGGGTGGAAGATTGGAGCCGCCACCCCCACCACGTGGCTTCCGAATCTTCCTACAGGAAAGAAGATCCAAGAGAGCGAGCATAGTCTTCGGGCCACTGAGGCCGAGCCCAAGCCTCTGGAAGAACCAAAACCTGAGACCTAAAAGCTCAAGAATCCTTCAGAGGATGCCCAGACACTGCAGCTGGCTTGGAACAGGCTTCTGGTGTTGAAAAACAGCCGCTTCCCAACATCTATGCACGTCCTCGAGGGGGATCGGGGGTGATCAGCAGTCCTCAAAAGATCACACTTCCAGGAGTAAGCTGACCCAGCTGAAGATTGCCCAGCGCCTTCGCCTGGAGCAGCTCAAGCTGGAAGAAGTAACACGACGCATCACGCAGGTGAGCCCCAATGGCTACTCAATGCTCCTGGCCATGCAGGCGACCCCCAGTGGGCCTGGCACTGAGGGGGTGCCCACGATGGAGCCCCGCCTACAGAGGCGGCTTTTCAGGAACCTGGTCTCCTCCTTGAAACAGAAGCAGGCTGCAGTGGTGATCAATAAGCCAGTGGGAGGGTACCAGTGCAGAGACATCATGGGCATGCTCTCCTGTGCCTTCCCACCTGTGACTTTTCACAGCAGTACCTCCCGTCAGCACTGAGGACACTGGGCGAGCTAGAGGAAGAACACATAGTGAGAGGCAGGCTAGCCCAAACCTGTCCTTTCCAGCCCATTTGTCACTAAAGCAGTTATTGAAAACTCTGACCACTTCCGCCCTGCACCCCCACCCTCATGCCATCCTACACCAGAGGTTTTTATTCTCTGCTGGTTTATTCTGGTTCATCTCATAGGGGACTAAAGTCCTGTCCCCCTACCAAGTTAAGTTCTTCATTTCAGTTCAGTTGCTCATTTGTGTCCGACCCTTTCCGACCCCATGAATTGCATCACGCCAGGCCTCCCTGTCCATCACCACCTGCCAGAGCTTACTCAAACTCATGTCCAAGGAGTCAGTGATGCCATCCAGCCATCTTAGCCTCTGTCATCCCCTTCTCCTCCTGCCTTCAATCCTTCCCCACATCAGCGACTTTTCCAATGAATCAGTTCCTTGCATCATGTGGCCAAATATTGGGAGTTTCAACTTTAGTCCTTCCAGTGAGTTAGCAGGACTGATTTCCTTTAGGATGGACTGGTTGGATCTCCTTGCAGTCCAAGGGACTCTCAAGAGTCTTCTCCAACACCACAGTTCAAAGGCAACAATTCTTCGGCGCTCAGCTTTCTTATGGTCCAACTGTCACATCCATCTATGACTATTGGAAACACCAAAGCCTTGACTAGACAGACCTTTGTTGGCAACATAATGTGTCTGCTTTTTAATATGCTGTCTAGTTTCATCATAGCTTTTCTTCGAAGGAGCAAACGTCTTTTAATTTCATGGCTGCAGTCACCATGTGTAGTGATTTTGGAACCCCCCAAAATTGAGTCTGTCACTGTTTCCCCATCTATTAGCCATGAAGTGATGGGACCAGATGCCATGATCTTTGTTTTCTCAATGTTGAGCTTGAAGCCAACTTTTTTACTCTCCTCTTTCACCTTCTTCAAGAGGCTCTTTAGGTGGTCTTTGCTTTCTGCCATAAGGGTGGTGTCATATGCATATCTGACCTTATTGATCTTTCTCCTGGCAATCTAGATTCGAGCTTGTGCTTCATCCAGCACAGTGTTTCTCGTGATGTACTCTGCATATAAGTTAAATAAGCAGGGTGACAATATACAGCCTTAAGATACTCCTTTCCCAATTTTGAACCAGTCCATTGTTCCATATCCAGTTCTAACTATTGTTTCTTGGCCTGCATACAGATTTCTCAGGAGAGAGGTTAGGTGGTCTGATATTCCCATCTCGTTCAGGATTATCTAGTTTATTGTGATCCTCATAGTCAAAGGCTTTGACATAATCAATAGAGCAGAACGAGATGTTTTTCTGGAACTCTCTTGCATTTTCGATGATCCAGTGGATGTTTGCAATTTGATCTCTGGTTCCTTGCCTTTTCTAAAAGCAGGTTGATCATCTGGAAGTTCACAGTTCACATATTTCTGAAGCCTGGCTTGGAGAATTTTAAGCATTACTTTATTAGCCTGTGAGATGAGTGCAATTGTGCGGTAGTTTGCACACACTTTGTCATTGCCTTTCTTAGGGACTGGAAGGGAAACTGCCCTTTTCCAGTCCTGAGGCCACTGCTGAGTTTTCCAAAGTTGCTGGCTTGAGTGCAGCACTTTTACAGCATCATCCTTTAGGATTTGAAATAGCTCAACTGGAATTCCATCATCTCCACTAGGTTTGTTCATAGTGATTCTTCCTAAGGCCCTCTTGACTTCACATTCCAGGATATCTGACTCTTGGTGAGTGATCACACCATCGTCACTCTCTGGGAAGTGAAGATCTTTTTTGTACAGTTCTTCTGTGTATTCTTGCCCCCTCTTCTTAATATCTTCTGCTTCTGTTAGGTCCATACCATTTCTGTCCTTTATTGAGCCCATCTTTGCATAAAATGTTCCCTTGGTATTTCTAATTTTCTTGAAGATATTTCCAGTCCTTCCCATTCTATTGTTTTCCTCTATTTCTTTGCATTGATTACCCTGGAAGGCTTTCTTATCTCTCCTGGCTATTCTTTGGAACTCTGCATTCAAATGGGCATATCTTTCCTTTTCTCCTTTGCTTCTCTTCTTTTTACAGCTATATGTAAGCCCTCCTCAGACAGCCATTCTATGTTTTGCATTTCTTTTTCTTGGGGATGGTCTCAATCCCTGTCTCCTGGACAATGTCATGAACCTCTGTCCATAGTTCATCAAGTGCTCTGTCTATCAGATCTAGTCTGTTAAATCCATTCCTCACTTCCACTGTATAATCAAAAGGGATTTGATTTAGGTCATACCTGAATGATCTGGTAGTTTTCCCTACTTTCTTCAATTTAACTCTGAATTTGGCAATAAGGAGTTCATGATCTGAGCCACAGTCAGCTCCTGGTCTTTTTTTGCTGACTGTATAGAGCTTCTTCATCTTTGACTGCAAAGAATATAACCAATCTGATTTCAGTGTTGACCATCTGGTGATGTCCATGTATAGAGTCTTCTCTTGTGCTGTTGGAAGTGGATGTTTGCTATGACCAGTGCATTCTCTTGGCAGACCTCTACTAGCCTTTGCCCTGCTTCATTCTGTACTCCAAGGTCAAATTTGCCTGTTACACTCCAGGTGATTCTTGACTTCCTACTTTTGCATTCCAGTCCCCTATAAAAAAAGCACATTTTTTGGGGGGTGCTAATTCTAGAAGGTCTTATGGGTCTTCATAGAACTGTTCAACTTCAGCTTCTTCAACATTACTGGTCGGGGCATAGAGTTGGATTACCGTGATATTGAATGGTTTGCCTTGGAAATGAACAGAGATCATTCTGTCATTTTTCAGACTGCATCCAAAAACTACATTTTGGACTCTCTTATTGACTATGATGGCTACTCCATTTCTTCTAAGGGATTCTTGCCCACAGTAGTAGATATAACGGTCATCTGAGTTAAATTCTGTACCATTAACTATATAAAAACAGTGTATCCTGGTTGAAGACATGTTCCTCTTTCTTGAGAACCTCGTGACTAATCCTGTCAAGTTCAAATGTAAATTGTGGGAGTGGGTCCAGTAAGATCTTTACAACCTTGAGACACTCTTCTGATTTATTCTAAAAACCAATTTACAAAGTATATAGCTTCCTTGCTAAAACTAGGGAGTTGGGCATTCTCTGTCCCCCTTCTGATGTCTATGTCAAAAGTTTTCTTTGTCCCTTTTTCACTTTAATAAAACTTTGCTACACAAAAGCTATTGAGTGATTGACATTGGTCCCTGGTTCCGAAGCTATATCTTCTTCAGAGATCACGAATCTGACATCCTTCACCATAAGCTCTCAGTTGTCAGTAAAGTCTTTGTCAGAGAGAAAAAAAAAATGACACGAATGAACTTATTTATGAAACAGAAACAGAGTCACAAACAGAGAAAACAAACTATGGTTACCCAAAGGAGAAAGGGGAGTGGGTGTAGGGATAAATTAGGAGGTTGCGATTAACATATACACACTACCATATCTAAAATTGATATATACAACAAGGACTTACTGTATAGCACACGTAATTATACTCAATATTTTTAATAACCTATAAGAGATGAGAATCTGAAGAAGAATATATATATATACATACATATATAATAATGAAATTTCTGTGCTGTACATCTAAAACTAACATGATATTTTAAATCACTATACTTCAAATAAAAACAAATTTTAAAAATAAAAATGTTAAGACACAAACAAAAAAAATTTAACAAATTCATCCTAGAAGAATGAAAGAAATAAAATATATGCAGCCAGTTTTTCTGTGAAATAATTAAATATTTTTGTTAAAGGATAGGATTAGTGGTTGGGGATGTGGATATATTTAGTTTTCCCAATTCTTGACTCATCTAGATGAAAGTAGTTTCTAGAAATAAGTTTGTGTGAAGGATGTTCAGACAAAGCACATTGTGACATTTAAACCATAAAACAAATGCCAAATTTAGCAGAATATCTGGGTGTTGCCAAACATATGTGTATTTTACATCTGGATTTTTTTTTCACACAGATGTTTTATCAACATATTAACCTACTCATCATAATGTACAAAGATGCAAGATTGCCTTAATGGCCTAGTTATTTAACTAAAGTGTTTTTTATAAATACCTTTTTTCCCCCACCGAATACTATAACTACTCCAAAATCCTATCTGAAGCAAAAGATTATCTAAAGGCTTTGGAAATATCATTATTGCAATTATTTTCTGTTACTGTTTATAATTATAGTCTCTCAAATGGTTTCTAATATGTTTCTATGGATATTTAGCACCTTTTAGAATACAAATGAGCTTTCTCAAGAAAATGCTTACTCATGAAATCATAACTTCAGATTTATATATTCAAAGATACATCCAACAATCCTACTGCCAATTTCTCTCTTGTTCTGGCATAAACTTTAAAAAGACGGAATGCTCAGTGGCACTGTGAAACCTAGGATCAATGAACTTTTCAGGCCCATCCCTTAGCCTGTCTGCCTCTTTCTGATGTCACAAGGCAGAGAGAGAGCTCTAGAGAATTTCCTCTGCCTCAAACCTGCCTTACCAATAAAACATTCGTACCTCAGTACTGACCTCCTCAAATGTACCATCCAGTGCCTACTGAGTCACATATCTGTCCCTGTGTGTCTGTGTGTGTGATCATGTTAAGCTTTGAGTAGGAGGTCCTGGAGGAAGGAAGTACCACTATCACCAGCACCAATAGCAGTTATGTATTGAGTATAATACTAAGTACTTTACATATATTTCCTATAATCCTCAAAACTGCATTATATGCATCAGTTCAGTTCAGTTCAGTCGCTCGGTCGTGTCTGACTTTTTGTGACCCCATGGACTGCAGCACCCCAGTGTTCCCTATCCATCACCAACTCCCAGAGCTTGCTCAAACTCATGTCCATTGAGTCTGTGATGCCATCCAACCATCTCATCCTCTGTTGTCCCCTTCTCCTTCTGCCTTCAATCTTTCCCAGCATCAGGGTCTTTTCCAATGAGTTAGTTCTTCGCATCAGGGGGCCAAA